GGTGATGTAACACACACAGTCGCACACACACACACACACACACACACACACACACACACACACACGCACACACACACACACACACACACACACACACACACATCCCCAGGTAAGTGTGAATGCAGGCTGACATCCACGTACACACATGCACTATACGTCGTACTGTGCTTTCTTCTCCCTGAATCTTTTTGAACGTCGCATTCTGCATTCCTCTTTTTCCTGCCTGCTTTTTTTTTTTCTACCGCATATTCCCTCACTCTCTTCGCTCAAATCACGCTCTCTTTCTTGAGACTCCTCTCTCGACTCTTTCGCTTCTTCCTTGTCAGATGTTTCTTCGTTCTCACCTGACGGGTCCACCAAGTTGATCACACTCTGACTCTTGTTCGTCTCCTCTTCGTTCTCATTTTCCTCCTCCCTCTCCCTGTTTGCCGTGCTTGGAACCTTTTCATGCTCTGCCCCACTGACACCCTCCACGTTAGCTCTCCTTTCTCCCATGGTTGATTCCGAAACTATTTGCATTTTTGAACCAGTGCATTCCATAAGCACTGGTCCTTCACCCCCATCTTTCTCATGTGCACTTTGCTCCCTTGTGTCTTCGTCGGTGCCTTGCGTCTGTGTAGTGATGACAGTCGTATCGTGTGTTCCTTGCGACTGCTTGGAATGCGAATCGACATTCCCTGCCACCGCCTTCACTACCTCATGTGCCTGAAATTTTGACCCTTCTTCGTCTGATGCTTTTTGTCGCTGGTCCTCTTCAATCTTTTCGACCTTCCCATCATCGCCAACAACTTCCCCGCCTGTTGTTGGTGTTGTCTCACTTCTGGCTCTCGCTACACTTATGCCTTCTGACGGTCTAAGTGTTGGTTGTGGTGTGCTCGATGACCGCTCACTGAACTCATCTCCCATTGCGTTTTGCATCCTAAGATGCCCTTCCTTGTCTGCCACACTCTCGCCACCACCTCCTGCTGCTGCTGAATCGATCTTCTTCCTTGCACTTGTGTGTCCCTCAAGGCCTTGACTGCATCCCACAAGTATATCGCTGTCGTACATACAGTCCGTTGCACGGTAGTCCATAGACCATATGACAGCTCCATACGATGGACTCGATTTCTTGTCGTAGAACGCAGCGCAATACTCGAGAAGATGATTATCACGCAGGAATTCGAATAACGAGTTCACTTTGTCTGATATTTTGTGGTCTGGCGCCTCTCTGTTCGCCTGCTTCACGCGGGTAGACAAGTTGTCCTTTGCGATTTCATAAAACCTGCTCTTGATGACTCTTTCCCTGAATACCCTTTTTTCCCACCCATTCGGATAGCCATGTGCCATCTGCCATCAATCACACAAGGCTCGAAAAAACCTAGATGCCATATGATGTGATGCCCCCAGTCTTGTTCATATGACTCTTTGTACTTTGTTTCTAGAAAGTGAGGTCCTCCTTTCATCTCCTTCATGTCATATGATATATTATCACCCGGTGCAAGTTGTTTGGGGACGTCGTCCGAGATGTGAAAGAGGGTATCATCCTCAATGTCCATCCCATCTTGGTCGTCCACTGATTCCTTGTCTACACGTGCAACATTTTGAGTCTCGTCGTCCGCCGCTCCTTCTATGTCATTGCGAACTCTCCTCACCAGCGAAACGAATCTTGGGGTAGCTTCCTTCATGCCGCACTTGGATGTGCTGCCTTCCATTGCACCACCTGTTTTCGGCGTTGTTCCACGCATCACATTATCGGGCTTGGTACTCGCGATAGTGCCGCCGACATCTTCCTCCATCGCTTGTTCACCACCCATAGCGGACAGCGGAGGCGTTTCGTCTCTCACTGCATTTTGATGTGCATCCGGCAATGGCAGATCAATCTCCTCATCCTCTGTTTCCTCCTCACTGTCCATAATGTCAAACTGCTCCCCAACGTCCATCACCTCGCAGTAAACCTTGGCATCAATTTTGACTCGCTTCCTTTCAAACCACAGGTGTTCACATCGGCCCAAAAATATCTCATTTGCACTGCGTTTGGCGTTGTGATATCCTTGTAGATGCTGGATCGCTATCACCTTACGGTGCAGATAATCTGCATCTGTTGGTGTTGCGGGTGCATTACAGAAAAGATAGCTCCACAGAGAATCCCTCTTCTTGCCGAGCTTCAGGAACATGTCTCGATCTGCACGATGTTGAGGTTTCGGCCGTTCAAAGTGACACCTGTTATCCGGATTGTGAACGTGGCGATCGATAAACAAAGTGGAGTACTCCATCAGGTTTGAGGAACTGTCACATGCGACGACATGGCGTCCTGAGCGCAACAAGTCCCACGTTGTTCCTGTCTGAACGTTGCCCAGTAACAGAACACCTTCTCCTTCCTTCGAAAACCAGGTGCACAAGTCTTTCATCTTTGCAGGTTCCCTCTCCCATATCCCGTACACAGGTTTGCTATCGCCTCGCACGCTGATTGCCTCTTTTGTACATCGTACAAATAACTCCTCCACGTAATGCGTGTCGAAGAGAGTGTTGCCATGAGGCTTTGCGACCATGACCTTTTTCAAGTTGTTGTCTGTATCGTGCAGCACAATGGTCATGGAGTCGCGCCCTCTCAACGGAAGGTTCCCAACTTGGGCGCAGGATGATGCTGCTTCGCTATAACGACGCCAACGCCCTGGAAGAACTCTTACACCGTCCCACCTGAAGACATTCCTCAACACCGTTTCCTCGACTTTCAATGCGCTGAAAATGATTGGCGCCCAATGCGACCCGCACAACACTGTCATCATTTGGCAGAGCTCGTGAAACCTTTGCTCGCTCTATGCGTCGAGATTCTTCAACGGAGCCAAGTCCAATACTGCAAGGTGACAACTCAGCTTTCTCACGGCAGGAGTCAAATCTTCTACCGGGTGCAGTGCATCCATAGGTGTGATGCAGACAGGAAGATATGTCGTGTGATCTTTGCGCTTGTCCCACATTATGTGTTGAGCATTTGAGCTGATCCGTCTCAGTTCGTCCCTCAATTGCTCAACTGCGCCAAAAATCTTATGCACGAAAAACTTAAGAAAGTACGGACACTCCATATATATTGCAGTCGTCACCTTGTGACCCCCGATATTCCCTTTTCCAAGTTTCGCCTCATCCACACCGCCCAATCGTTTTGGGACATTGACAGTCATCTCTGCTACGATCTTGGACTTGGTTTCTTCCCATTTCTCCGTCGTCAACCCTCGCGATGCAAACCGCCTCATTATGGTATCGTAGCCAATGAAGAACTTGTCATTCCACTCCTCCTCCGACCTCTGCTTTATCTTGAAGAGGATGTAGTTAAACATGCGAACCATATATCTCTCCCTTCTCACCTCCACGTACAGGTCTTGCATGTTCATCACTTTTTTCACAAATGCCCTTCCGCTCGTGACAACAACGTGTCCCGCAAGTATTTTCTCGAGGGCCATTTCCTTCTCCCTTGATGTGAAATCGCGAAACACCTTCCATGCGCTCGCGGGGGGATCATTGATGCAAACATAGAAACCCGACGAACTTTTGTTGGACTGGACGTAGTGCACCAACACTTTTTTGCCTTTCATCGTCTTCGCTGCAGGGCCCGGTCCTGCTGCCTCGCCTGCTTTCCCTTCCTGATCGACTGGTCTCACGCCGTCCTGCCCTGGCACTGCCCTGGCAGTTCGCCTTTTTCCCATTTGTCAAAGAACTTCTCAACCAGATTCCACACAACTCTGCCGCTCGCCGCAAGACACATGTAGGGCCGCAAAAGGTTTGACCAATTCCTCACAAATCTTTTCGCCAACGACTGGTTTCAGAGCGATGTGTCAGGAGTCATCCGTATAGCTTTCCTTACGAACTCCTGATATTGCTCACGTTGTGCAGTCCTTTCTTCCACCGTCTTTGCCTGATGCCAATCACCTTTTGGCTCTTTCATACTCTGCCACAGGTCTCTTATAGCAGCCACAGTCATTCGAAAGGACGACGGGATAGCACGTGTTTCCCTGGTGTTGTCAAACGTGGAGATGTACGCATACCCCTCCAAATGGTCATCGTCAAAATACACAACCCACGCCTTCCAAGAATGCATGCAGCAGACGATTTCGCAGCGACCAGCCTCTTTGCTGCCTCCGCTGTATGTTGGCCGGCCACTGTGTACCAATGGTAGGAGGCCACCTTGTCATCATCCCACTCCTCCGGCTTCACACGTTCCCATTGCTTCCGGCCATCCTTTTGCACTTCAACGACAGGACCAAGAATCCACGTGTTTCTGTCCCACTCCTTCTGCTTTTCCGGGTGTTTCATTGCGTCCCTGATGGAGGTGACCAACATCTCGTTCAACGACCTGTGGTTGTATTGCACGCCTTCCGAAGGGTTGGACAATATTTTGACTACATCAACGAACACTTGGGTAGACGGATCTATCGCATTGCCGTTCTCATCATATTCCAGGAAAAAGCATCTCGTGGTGTCGATAGTATCGTTGGTAAACTCTCCAGGCTTTGACGTTGTATGTCTTGGGTCGACCCCCGCCGCTTCATCCCCAGAGTCCGCCACTTCCTTTGTCTCCTCAGCCTTTGCTTTTTTCTTCGGTCTCTGCGAAGATGGAGTTCGTTCACGCTTTTCCTTTGCTGGTTTAGCGGATTGAGCCTCTAAGAATCTCTTGTAATCCTCCGTCGAGGCCTGTAGGCTGATGAGTTTAGCTTGTCTCTGCTTCTCTTCCTCTGCTCTCCCACATCTCATTTTCCTCTTGCGCATGCACACAGACCTCTGTGTACCATGCAACACATCGTCATCTTCTCTTGCACCGTCATGACTTGTGGCACGGGAAGACTGTTCCCGCCTTTTCTGCGACCCTGTATTCCCGCCGTCGTCGTCGTCCGCCCCACCCTCATCTCCTTCGCTCCCCCCTTCGTAGCTGTCTTCCCGTTCTGCGGCGTCCTCGTCACTTGCTTCCTCATTTTCTTCTTCTTCACTCCCATCGCCTTCGTGACCACCATCCTCTTGGCCTTCACTACCATCGCCTTCGGCGAAGCCATCCTCCAAGCGTCCCTCTTCATCGTGTGCACCGTCGCGGAACCGCGGTTCGTCTTCGTCCCCTTCCGTGTCTTTCGCATCATTGCCATCGGGCCACCGCCCACCGTCTGAGTTGAAGAAGCGCGAGTCCTCCTCTGAGTTTTCGTCGTCATCCTCATGGTCAGTGACCCCACCAGGCGGAGTCAAAGAAACACGTGCCGCATATTCTGCATGTGATGGTGCCTGCGTCGGAGACACACCCTTCGGTCGGAGCAGAGAAGCTGATTTGCTCACGCTTTTTGCCTGTGTCGATGCGGCCCCACTTTTGCTTATACGGGCGGATGTTTTCGGCTCCCCACAACTTTTGCCCACCGTCTTTGGCGAGCTCACAAAGACGGCAGTTCGCAAAACGGCTTGGCCCATCGCCTGCAGCTTGTGACGTCGCACCACGTCTGCGAAGTCTCCAAGATCACAGTCGAAGGCACGAAGGGATTTGACAACCGCAGGTTGTTGTCAATCGTCACGATATGGTTCGACACCTTATAGCAATTAACGCGTTTGAGGAACTCGAACGGCCTGAGCATCACCATCTGCGACGCATCCTTCTTCTTGGACTTGTCGAACGGAGACATTGATGCAGCGCGGGTGCCGTAACCTTGGAACTTCTCGACGTGGAGAGACACGAGTTTGTAGTTGTCAGGCACCTCCTGACCGTCGATGTCGAAACACGTCGTGAGATGGAATCTCATGTACTCCTCGTCAGGCATGTTCTTATCAAACGAGTAAGTCTTGATACCCTCGCACGGGTAGTAACCACCACTCTCATCCCGCAAAAAAACAACTGGCCCACAACAGGGGACTTTCATACCGAGGTGCCAATCGATTGCCCAATACTTCTCTTGGAACGTGACCGCCCTTCCGACAACCTTCGGCGTAGAGACCCCTGAGGAGCACGCAGCTGCATAACACCCCATCCGACACCGACGCAACACACGGAAGAAATAGAGGTTAAGAACAAGGGGCGGTGGAAGACGTTAAGAACCGGTGACAATAGCAAGTTGCTCTTGTCGGGCACCACGCAAAGCATGTGCTTCCACAAACGAACGTTCGCAATGGCAGCAGGCAAACAGGAAAGCACTTGCCTCCACCGCGGAATCCCTACCACTGTAACGGGGAAGGGCACGTATCTAAGCACGCCAACCTGCCGTTTCCCTTAACGAGAAAGTGATCGCCAGTCCGCATCAGAGCACTGTAAATCCGAGCATCAGATGGTCCGGCGTCGCCGAGGCGCCAGACCATTGGATGACACAGCCATCGGATGGTGGTTCGGTTGGCAAGGCGTCGGACCGTAGGAGGCAGAGGCACCCGACAGGAGCAGCAGGAAGGTGCTGCAGCCGCAACAACTCCAACCACAACAACTCTAACCAACGTTCGGACAACAACTCTAACCAACGTTCAAACAACAGGAAGGTGTTGCAGCCGCAACAACTTCAACCACAGCAACTCCAAGCACAACAACTCTAACGTACGTTCAGAGAGCTGTTGTGCCGAAAGCCTGGATGGTCCGGCTCCTCGACGACGCTGGACCATCTTATGGTCTGGCGCCTTGACGACGCCGGACCATCCGATGGTATTGCGCCTTGACGACGCCCGGACCATCCGCGGCCACATCATGTGCAGCGGGATACGAACCCTTGCTTACATGGTCTGGCGCCGAGACGACGCCGGACCATCTGATGGTCTTGCGCCTCGACGACGGCATACCATCCGATGGTCTGGCGCCTCGACGACGCCGGACCATCCGGTGGTCTGGCGCCTTGACGACGCCGCACCATCGGGAGGGCCAGCAAAGGTAGGGACCCAGCATCAGAGGAACCACAGCAAGACTGATGGACATTGGGGCAGATGCGCCAGCAACTGCGGCCACAACATGTGTAGCGGGACACGAACCCTTGCTCACATGCCACAACAACAGTGCGACACAAGAGCGGCAACAACTGCTGTGCCGAAAGCCTGTATGGTCCGGCGCCTTGACGACCACATCTACAACCGCAACATCTCGAACCAGAACAACATCAGTGCTCACTTAGACGCCACAGCGACACCGAGAACAACATCGTTCAGTAGCTGGTGTGTCGACCACAACATCTGCAACCACAGTGTCTGCTACCGCAACAACATCAACGCTCACTTGGACTCCACATCAACAGCGATAACAACAACGTTGAGTTGCTGGTATGCCGGACGCCTCGATGGTCCGGCGCCTTGACGATGCCGGACCATCCGACCGTCTGGCGCCTTGACGACGCCGGACCATCGGAGGAAAGGCAGGGGCACAGCAGCTGCACCAGCAGAGGGACCCAGCATGAGCGGCTGCAGCTGCAACAAACGCAGCACCTCCGACAACAACATAAGCGGTCACTTAGACGTCACAGCAACAGCGAGAACAGCAGCGTCGAGCTGCTGGTATGCCGGACGCCTCCATGGCCAGGCGCCTTGACGACGCCGGACCATCGAAGGAAAGGCAGGGGCACAACTGCAGCAAACGTTGAGGGACCCAGCATGAGCGGTTGCAGCTGCAGCTAACGCAGCACCTCCTACCACAACATCGACAACCACTGCATCTCGAACCGCAACAACATCAACGCTCAATTAGACGTCACAGGAAGGCAGGGGCACAGCAACGGCTGCAGCTGCAGCTAATGCAGCACCTCCGATCACAACGTCGACAACCACAACATCTCAAACCCGGACCATCCAATGGTCTGGCGCCTTGACGACGCCGGACCATCCGATGGTCTGGCGCCTTGACGATGCCGGACCATTGGAGGAAAGGCAGGGGCACAGCTGCAGCAAACGCAGAGGGACCCAGCATGAGCGGCTGCAGCTGCAGCTAACGCAGCACCTCCGACCACAACATCGACAACCACA